CACTTTGGAGCAAGATCCGCCAAACCGCGCATTTAAAACTGACAAACTGTAGAACCTTGACTGCGCCCTAGTTTTTCCCTAAAAAGAAAGAAGAAAGCTCTGAAAATTTGTGAAAAAGTTGTGAAAAAAAGATATTGATCATACAGTAGGCAATGCAGATGCCTAGTCCTACAGAGGGTTCTATGTTTCTATCTAGCTTAACAAAATCCTATAGGGAATTGACTGCTAACCTGTGTGGGGTAGGAACTACTCCGCCTAACTACAGTCCTTAACCAAAAACTGAGGACCTATTCCACCTAGCTACAGTCCTATCACGAACAATTATACTAACACTATTCTAAACACTACCAAAACAACTATACTTCTCTTTACTCTACTAATGTACAGGCGCCTCTATTGATCCAGACCTATGACGGGCCGGGATGTACCTCCAGCAGGCTACAATTACCATTAAACTACCAATTCCTGCTCATTCAGTCCCTATTGTCGGGACTGTGGACCTAGGAGAGGTCCAGGTCTAAGTAACGCTCCCACCATCCCTCTTGCCTTCCAACTACTGCCTTCCTACTGTGGAATTTACGACCGAGCGTTAAGGTTGCTCCATCCAGACCCTATTCTCGGGACTGTGGACCTACGATGGTCCAGGCTTCATATAACACTCCCCCCAGCCCCTCTTACCTTCCAGCTTCTGCCTTCCTACTGTGGAATTAAAGACCGAGTGTTCAGGTCGTACCTAACTCGCAAATAGCCACTTCGAAACCTATATCCTGCCTCCTTCTGTCGATGCTAACCGCCCATTTCTGGCCCAATTTCCTTGGAACCATCGCACACCACTACTCTTATTTCTGGCTCTGGAAACCTTCCTAGACCAGGCACCCTTGATTGCAAGCACAATATTATGCTTGATTTTTGCCTTAATGGCCTGGTCAGACAAGAATTTCCTTTGAAATAGCAGAGTGTTCCGTTCCTCGCAGATGACCCAGAAGATGACCGCACGAATGGCCACCGCCGCATAGCCCCAATCCTTGCTGTCCTGGGACTCGACCACAGCGGCTTCGAAAAGAATCCAATTCTCATCCCAGACAAAGCGCTTCCCACATATCATGTTCCAGTGATCGATCCACCATAACCACACTCTTCGGGACAGAGGGCAAGCAAGCCATAGATGCATAGTGGACTCAAATGACCATTTGCATTTCTTACATGTAAGTTCTATATTCATCTCTCTGCTGCTCATCCATACAGCTGAGGGTGTCACCATCATGGAGAGCATCCACAGCGGTGCCGCCTTCCTTTGTGATGGTATATCCTGTAGATTCCCCCATGATATTTCCATTAGTCTTAAAATCTTCGCGGCGTCTTTCCCTGTGATTCTGACCCATCTTTCTGTGGCTACCACCACTGGTGGATTCGCTGTTTGTAGCTGGATGTATCCATGCCTTGAAGTATAATCCGCGAGCCAACTATCGGGGTTCTGCCACCTCCACATTGCGGGGTCCAACTTGAGGGTTTTAACAGGTGTTCCATTCGCCCATAGTGTGCAGGACCAGTCCCCTTCCTCCGTGCATTGTTCCATGACTCTCACTTGTGAGATTGGTCCAATTGGACAGACTACAGTCTCATTCCCCTGCTCAACTAGGGCTAGCTGTTGACCCTCTAACCTTTCCCATTCCTGAAATTCCCTACGTCCATGCAAATTGATTGCTGTAAGTTTGAAGAAGGATTCTCCCTCCCCAGGTAAGTCCTCTTTGTACCATGTACCCACCACGTCTGTTCTCTCTGTGTTCAGGAGTGAGACCCAGTCTGTAGGGATGGACTGCAACAGCATACTATATCTGTTCTCCACTTCTCCTAACCTCCCCAACTTATCTTTAACCGCAACTAACGAAAACCAAGATCCACAGATATCATCCCATAGGTGATTAACCCAAAGGATTCCTCTCTGAATCCAGGCTTTACCAAAAGATTCAGCTCTTGAATCTGCAGCAAATGACCTGCCCTGTGTATTTAAAATCGCTGGGTTGTCAAAAAGCGGTTGGGCCAACACTTCACTCTTGGTAGTGGGTGCCATCCAAGTCTTTGGCTTAACCTTTCTTCAGGCATAGAGAACTTCTTGCCAGAACATTGACTTAATCTGGCTGTTGAGGAATGACTCCATCATGCAGCAAGTCCAGACATCTTCAGTTTTTGGGAGGTGCCATTCTTCAGCCAGAATGTGCTCTGCCATGACCAGCCAGTGGTCGTTCTCCGTTGACGAGAATGCTTTGACTACCCATGAGGACAGGAGGGCTAAATTCTGCTTGCCTGGGTCCAACAGACCCAGTCCTCCCTGTTTTCGGGGGTAGCAGATGTTGTCTCATGCCACCTTCGAAATAAAACCTTTGTCTGTGTCCCCAAATGGTTTTCAAATAAACCTGGCAGCTACTCTCCTTGTGACCATGAGGAGCTGCTTACTCAACCGTTTAACTTTACCGACATACCAGAGGAGAGAGAAGAGAGCTACATTCAGAACCAGGGCCCTACCAAACAGCGAAAGGTGAGGGGTTGGGCCCCATCTTGATATTCGCTCTACTACTTTCTGTTGTAACATGTCATTTTGGAAATCTGCACAGTTGGTGAGGGGAACTTGTACTCCTAGGTATCTCTCTGACGCTCCTTCCCTCACCCTTTTCATTCCCATGTTTTCTACCAGGCAGTACTGAGGTGGTAAAAAATACATGGATTTGTTCCAGTTAACTGCAGCCTCGGACAACTCATAATATTCAGACAGGCAGCTCTTCAGTGCTAACAGAGAGTTCTCTGTATTAGCGGATACCGCAAACAGGTCATCAGCAAGGGCCTTGACCTTGCATTCACTGTCTTGCACCTTAAGCCCAATTATCTGTAGGTGGGATCTAATATTGCACATCAACACCTCTAATTGCAGCACAAAGATGAGTGGCGCTAACGGGCAGCCTTGTCTCAGCGAGCGAGACAGTGAAAAAGGCTTAGACATACTACCGTTGATCATAACTGAGGATTTTGAGCAACCGTAGAGGCCTATTACTGTCTTGCAGAACTTTGGCCCAAAACCTATTCGTTTCAAGGTAGTTACCGCATATGACCAATTTACTCGGTCGTAGGCTTTCTCTAGATCCAGCAGTAAAATTGTTAGTTCCATATTACCTTTTTGCACAATTTCTAATGATTCTAACGCTGTAACTACATTGTCGAATATGGATCTTCCTTGTATAAACGCTGCTTGGTCTTTCCCCACCACTTGTGGGAGAAGAACTGCAAGTCTTCTAGCCATAGTCTTCGCCAGGATCTTGTAGGAGACATTAAGCAGCGATATGGGTCTCCAATTCCTTATGTCTGTTTTATTACCTTTCTTGTACATTAACGAGATGATTTCGTGGCTCATCTGAGGGCTCACCCCACTTCCTGTCATAACTGCATTGTAAAGTTCCAACAGGTTTCCTCTTCAGTTAGGGCAGCCTCTAAAACCCTCCTTGACTCTGAGCTGATGCGAGCATGAAGATTGTTCCAATGGTCTGAGTTGCATGCAGGTCAAGATCTGGGTTTTCTAAGGGTCTTCTACTGGTGAGGATATCCTTAAAGTACAGGACAGCGTAGTCACACATGCCCTCTAACGAAACTGTTGGTCTAGCTGTTGAGCAAAAGGGGTGCTGGAGTAATTTCATCCCTTGAACCCCGCTCTTGGGGGTTAATTTCTGAGAAGACTCCCTCGACATTCTGTCATACACCACAATCCCTTTTATTCTCAAAAGCTCCGCCCATGTTTCTGATTCTCCTATCTGCAGTTCATCCCATTCTGCAATGAGCTTGGCTCTATTTTCAGCCCACACTTTGGCTGAGATAGGGTGCAGGTTCATTCTCTCTTCGACTACTTGCAATCTATCTCTTATATCATGTTCTTTTTTGTTTCTTTTTGCCGCCATGATCTGCGAGAATACGCTAAGAACGTTGGAGGTAATTGCAATCCCGGTGTCCCACCAGTCACCTAGAGAACTAAAATGCTGCTTTGCCTCCTCCCACGTTTGCCAGAAGTTATCTATCCACTTGGACAGTCTAGGTTCCCTCAACACTTGTAGATTCAGTCTGAAATAACCCCTGCCCCGCTCCGGTACATTGGCGTGTTTGAACATGGCGAGGACTGGGTTGTGGTCTGACAGTGGTTCACGTATCATCTTCATGTTGTACACTGCTTCGTTCCACCATGGGCTTACCAAAAAGAAGTCCAATATCTGGTAACAGCCTGCTGTGTTGCCTTTCGTTGCCGTTGAGAACCATGTATGGCCTGGGTCCACCGGATACAGAAGCCTGAAGGGGTCAATTAATTCTAACTCCACCATATACTCAAGTAGCGTTGCAGTATCTGCTGCTCCGCGTGACTGCGCTCCGAGTTCATCCAACGTACAGTTCCAATCACCAGCTATTAGCAGATGTTGTACGTCTGGTGTATGAATCATGAGATCCTGAAAGAACGTTGTGCGTTCCGCTCTGTCCGTTGGGGCGTACACAGTCATAACACCCCACCTCCTTCCATCACTTTCAAATACAACCCACGCCCATCTTCCCCACAGATCCACGTCGTGATCCACAATGCTAGCCTCTAACTGTCTATGAATGAGAATACAAACGCCCCCCCTAGTTCCATTAGCCGGGGCCCACAGTTGTAGGCCATCCCACCATGGGCCCATGTCTGTGATTTTCTCCTCATTCAATTTAGTCTCTTGTACTAAAGCAATATGAACTCTATGCTTGTGGAGCCAGGATTTTAATCTTGATCTCTTCGACCTCTTGGTCGTGTCACCTAGCCCTCGCATATTCCAGGTTACTATTCTAAGGTTGTCCATGAGTAGTCGCTGTGTCCGGCACCTGGTGGACCCAGTCCGTATCAGTTCCTGGGACTGGATCTCCTAGTCCGTTTCTAACCCGTTCTCTCTGGGGTACTGTGGATGACAGAGAGGCTTGGGGGCATTTTTGTGCCAACATACTTCGCACAAAGATGGAATCAAGCTTCTTGTTCGGTGGCAATTTCTCGTTCAGACCAGCCAAGAAGGAAGCTGGGATCTCCTGATCAATTTTGATATCCCCAAGAGGTTCATCTCTATTTTGCAAAAACAATGAGATAGGTAGCAACCTCAACCCATTGTCTGTGAGACCCTGAAGAATGTCAGGCGACACATAAGCGTCAATCAAGGCAACAGTGTACTTGATCTTCCTATCCTGCCAGTCCACGTAGAAACGCTGTGTAGAGATTTCTAGGACTAGCCTGAACGGAATCAGCTCCCCGAAACTTCTTCTGGCCGCTGTTAAAATGCCATCGTGCCTTGTGGCGACATCCAGGTGAGAATCTGGATTAATTATCAGCGAACAGACTAAAGTTAGCAGTCTTTTCTCCATTTGTTGCGACTGTTGTCTATCAATTGTAACAACTCTTCTATCTCGCTTCATCCTTGCGCCTGGTAGTGGTGACGTGACTGCTCCACCATCGTTGGCATGAGAGCCTTCCGAGCTTGCAGCAGATGTTTGTGAGCCTTCTGCAGCTATTTCCAATCGAGCCCCTCCCCCTCTTGATGTGCCTTCCCCCAGGGTTCTGCTGATGTCCGTTCTGGCTTGCTTCAATGGTGACCGGCCTCTTGAGTCTCTTTGTGACGCCGTCTGCTGTACCGTCTGTCGGGGCTGAAGGTCTGACGCGATCGCCAGGTAGGGAACAACGCGTTTCCACCTGCATCCAGTCCTACTGTTTACTGGGGATCTGGTATTCTGCTGCCCCACGACCTTGCACCCCGAGTCTAAACTGGTCATCTGAGAATGGGCCAAAGCCAAGATCTTGATCTCTCCCACCTATTGCGTCCATGAGAAGCTCTCCCTGTTGTATTAAGCCTCTGTTTGCTCTTGGTTCCCCACCGTAATGACTCCCACGCCCGTATCCCGTCGGATATCTCGGGATGGGAGAGAAGAGCGGGTTCGATCTTGGAAAAAGATCCTGATGTTGTCCTTGATTCTGGTTTCGATCGTACTCCTATTGCGGCCTGCCCTCTTTGCCCGACGACTGTCTTGATTGCGAGTTGCTTGGAGCGAGATCACCGTTGTATCGGTTCCGGCTCTGGTTGCCTTGCTCATAGTTGCCGGGCAGCGGGTTTGATGAACCAGCCGCGTTTCTCTGATGAGTATCTTCGTAAAAGTTCATGCTTGCTACCGTAGTAAACGGTCTTTGGTTCTCCTCCGTTCGCCTCCAATCGCCTTGTCTCCCTACAAGACCTTTAGTGCAGTCCTCCTCCTCATGAAAGTAACCCCTGCACCTTTTACACCACAGGGTTGAGGAGCAGACCATCCTAAGCTCCCTCATATCCCCATTGTCCGTTCTCACCCAGATCCGATCGACCATCCGATCCCTAAACTGTGGATCGACATCGTACTTTAAGTTCATTAGTTCCGGCTTTGAACGATCCCTAATAGGAGGGTATTCTTTGGTGATAGCACCGATCACTCTTCTGACTGCAGCTTTAGTATACACTACTGCATCCAACGGCACTTGTAACGCCATGACCCATAACATACTTTCCAACTCCACTCTTCTAAATTCTCTCCATTCTAGACGAGTCATCCACTGCCTGAAGCTCATAGAGTAGGAGACTCCGAAGATTGAAACCTCATCTTCCCTTCTGTTGATGAGCCATGCAGAGATCGTCTGATTCCTGGCAACGTATGCCAGTACATTCGGGCCTTCAAAGCGGATCGTGCCTCGTTGGATTGGTTCTTCGAATATCCCATCTCGTGACCAACCATTCTCGTATGCCCGGATGAGATCTGCTTTCACCTTGCGAGGCAGATCTTTAGCAGCGTCACGGAACACCACTACTACTGTTCTCTCCTTGAGCCACGCTACCTTCACCCGATCAAACTCTGGGTTAACTTTGAAAACGGCTTCTCTGCCGACGACCTCCACTCCCTCGCAGGGGATATCCTCAGGAATATTTCCTTCTTCATAACACTGTGCGATTAGCACTCTCACCCTTTCCTCTGTAAGATCGGCATCAGGAGCAGCTGGCGGAGATCTCGCCCCCATTTGAGCCGGTTGGTCCATCACCACTTCCGGTTGTAGATGACCTTCCATCTGGTTTGAAAACTCGCTCCCGCACTCTGCACGTTTTGGTGAGCGATTGACTACTCTCTACTTCCAAGCTCTTGGTAGCCTTACCGTCGTAGGTTTTCCTTCCTATCCTATTCGCGCTACTGTGCTATGATATTCCTACTTCTCAACTAACCCCTTCTTTTCCACTCTAGCTTTACCACTAATATCCTCATGTAACTCCTGGCTATGGCTACCCCAGACGTCGCGATCCGTGGACATGTCACGTTACCACGCTGAAGACACGTGGCGAAGGCGACATGCAGTTACCGTAAGCCTGCACGGCGCAGGCACGGTACCGGGCAGGCCACTGGCGTTACCGCACAGTGACGGGCGCGAGAAAGAGTGCTAGGCGCGAGAAAGAGTGCTAGCAGCGCAGATAGACCGGGCCCCCAATTCCGTGTTTCCCTTGTTGTTTTTTTGGTTGCAACAGAGGTCCTGCTTTTGAACGTGGCAGAGAATGCCTCGTTCATCAGTAAGGCACATACGAACCACGCCCTCCGCACCACTGCCCTCACCGTACCTACAGCGGCTCCCGCTAATCCGATTGTTGCACAGTCCGTTCCGTGCTTTGTTATCATGGACATGGACATAGCACCGGTGGTGGGGCCCCTTCGTCAGTGACAAAACTGCATCGAGTTTGGTGCTAAGGAGTGGGGCCTGTCCGTCAACGAGGAAAGTGTATCCATTTCGATGCTGCGGTAGCTTAGCGGCAGCATACCGCAGCATCCAAGTGCTCGCAGAGACGACCAGATTCACTGGGAAACGTCCGAGTGCGATCCAGCGTAGTACCGCCTCCTTCAGTTTTTTTTTCAATCCAGCACCACTTTCGCTCTCTCTCAGCTCTCTGCGTTGCGCTCCTCGTAACGTTCGAAGCGGCACGCGAATTCTCTCCCGCGCTGGAGTTGGGTGCGTGTGCCGCGCGTGTGGCGTCCAGTCCTTAGCCGCAAGCACACTCTTGCGCAATCACGCGGGGTTCTGATCGGCGGGGCCGAATATCGGTCAGCCGGAATCCGCAGTGCAAGAAGTACAGATGCACACGCATGGACACGTACTCATGACAGATGCCAGCGCAGCTACCTAAGCGCACAAACGCTCGTGCACCTGTGCAGGTGCATAGACGTTGGAAACGTTGAGCCTGAATGGTCGGTGGTGCTGAGAACTCGCAAAAGCGGAGAACGAGGAGGGGAGGGTATGGAAGTCTTCGTCGAATGAGCTGTTTGCAAATTGCAGATCGACGGCAGTTCACCAAGCTCGCCCCCTCGCTTGTGATTGATTGATGAGGTTTTTGTCGTACCTCGCGCTGCCATCATAAACGCGCGATGATCCATCTTAACTCCGACATGAATCCCGCTGTACCCTCCGGAAGATGTCCCTTTATGCGGACGAGGGATTCTGTAGCAGGGCGAGAGATGACGGCAGGAAGCGGCGCAGCAGCGGAATTGCGAGGTGGTGGTGAAACCGTAGGCAAGAGGGGTTGTCCAGCGGCGCGCTTGCATGGCGCGTCGAAGTGCGCGGAGCGTGAAAATGCGGAGGAGGTGGGCAGCATGGCCGTGATGGAGGTTTCAGACGAACGAAGGGCGGGGTGCAGAGCCGGGGTCGAGGAGGCGGAGGCCAGATCTGGCGAGGAGTACTACCCAAGGTCATCATCCGCTGGTCCAATGGGAAGGAAGACTGTCGGAGGAGGAGGAGGAGGAGGAGAGCAGGGAGTTGTTCCGCGGCCGTCGACAGGGGAGGAAGTGCGAGCGCGAGCGCGAGCGCTTGACGGCGCTTCGGGAGCTGGCTCGGGGACGGACGCGGGAACTGCTGCCGGTCCAAGTCCCAGGTGTCCGTTAGGATACGATGCGGGGGGTGGATTCAGAATCGGACCGCTAAGTTGCGTCATCTGTCGGGCGCTACTTTACGACAGCTTTCGGTGCGTGCCTTGCCGCCACGTGTACTGCAGAGTTTGCATATCGCGGTTCTCCGACTGTCCGCTCTGCGGCGCCGACATCGAACGTCTTGAGCCAGATGCCGAGATGCAGTCTCTGATTGACAAATTCATCGACGGGCATGGTCGCGCTCGACCGCGACATCGTCAGACGGTGGTTGGGCTCGATCCCGCGACCGTTGATGCAGAGATCGCAGCGGCCGCTTCGACAGCGGCGGCAGCGTGTCCAAGAAAGGCCTGCGGCGCTGACGTGGCATCATCATCTCCCGGTAGCATGAAGGATGATGTTGGCGGCCTGGATGGCGTGGGGGGTGAGGGTTATCTGCTGCGACAAGCTATGTTGGCCTTTGTCGGGCAGAACTACGAGAGCGCAAGGAGCAGGCTCTTGCTGTGTCTGGAGGATGCGCAGGCTGAACTCGCGTCCACGTCTACAACTGCTGATGGGGATTGGGACAGGTCGACCGAGCGCATCTGCCACGTCGGAGCGGTTCTCGGTTCTCTGGGCGACGCTTGTCGAATGATGGGAGACGACGAGGGTGCTTTGCGACATTACGAGGAAAGCGTGAAGGTTCTGTCGCGCGCCGCTCCTCCTGCCCCGGGCGCCAACGGCGACGAAGACGAAGATTGCGACTCTGAGGTCGTCCACGCTCTTGCGGTCTCTCACAACAAGGTAGGTGATCTCCATTACCGCGCCAATGATTTGGATATGGCGGCAGCGTCGTATCGGGAAGGATTACGTGTTCGGAAGGAGGCGGCGAATCGTTTTCACCGTCGAGGGAGAATCCTCCACGCGGCGGCGAGGGGAAGCATTCCTCCATCTGACGGTGGAACTGGCTCTTCGGCTGGGAGAGAGGGAGGTGGGCAGGATTTCTCTGCGCTCACGCCGCCTTCTCTCGTCGTCGACATCGCTGTGTCACTGGCCAAAGTGGCGGATGTCGCTAGAGCACAGGGAAACGAAGCAGCGGCGCTGCGGGGATTCCGAGAGGCAAAGGACATTGTTGACCGCTTGATGATCTCGAGATCTAACGGCGGAGGCAATGTGGATGCAGGAGATGGCTGCCAGCGGCAATCTCCTGAGGGTTTGCGTGGTGGGGACAGGCAGCTGACCTCATTGGTAACCTTCTTATCCTCCGCACTCGGAGAGGCGCCGAAGGAATCATGAGAGTCAAGTCGGCGTCCAGATGCGTTGCACCTGCTCATTCTTCCATCAGCGGCTGGCCGGTATAAGTAAGTGTAAGGAACCACAGTGTGTGGCTCACCGAAGCCCACGAGAGACCAAACACGTTCCATGTTGCAATCGCCTCTCCAGGCACGCAGCATGGGCTATTTGCATGCTGGGCACCTCTATGAATCTTGGCCCTCCAAATTCTCACACTGAGGACCAGTCCAAGATTCGGGGCAATCAGCACCAAACCAAAGTTTTTTTTTTTTTTTTTTTTTTTTTTTTTTTTTTTTTTTTTCCTTCATTCGTGGCGGTAGACGAATTTTCGTCCCCTCGTTCCCTGTCTGTCTGTCTGTCTGGTTGTCTGGCTGTGTCTCGCTGCCCATGCAGTGTGCTTGGAGCCTGATTCCGCTGCCAGATAGAAATGGGAGGGAGGTAGAGGGATCGCTGCTGGGCTCCTTCGATCGTGCAGTCATTGTGTCTTTTTACGTATTACAATATGATGATGATGCTGCCTTCGACTGAGCAGAACTGGTTGGTGGGGTTTGTTCGGTACGGGAATGAATGAATGATTGATGTCTTTATGGCTGGCATATGGTTGGTCACGCCCTCGCCTGCCACGTCGGCAATGAACCCGACCTGGCGTCTCGGCGATCTCGGATGTCGACGTCGCCTGCAACGATCCAACGGCGGTGATTCACGGCTGCTGCCCTCCACTGTACTTTGCAGGTGTTCTCTCTCTTCGGTTTTTTTTTTTTTTTTTTTTTTTTTGAACAAAAACGTGTTTGTATAGCCTCTTACTGCCTATCTCGCCGCTGGTGACGTTAGTGAATTCTCGTTTCGTTGGGTGTGGGGAAGCCGCACAAGCGGTATGGCCCGTCGGATGTGATGACCAACGTTGCGTGGGGCGTTGTATCACTGATGACGCTTCCTCTCTCTCTCTCTCTCTCTCTCTCTCTCTCTCTCTCTCTCTCTCTCTCTCTCTCTCACAAGTGGGCCTGCTTATGGTCTCCATTCCCTCTCTTCCTTCGCAGGATCTTCAACCTTGGATGTCTATAATTGGACAATAGTGATCTCTTTCCCCATGAAGTGTTGAAATAAAGGTATGTCTGCCCTTCTGATTTGCTGGGATAGCGATGTTAATTCCTGCCCACTCTCTCTCTCTTTCTCTCTGTCTTGTGTGCATCTCTCTGTGATGTTGTTTGCGTCTGTTTAGGCTAGCTAACACTCGTCAGCCATCGGGGTAGGTGAATCTCTGCTTGCTGATTCTGTCACGAAGCCGTGTCATGTAATTGCAACCTTTTGCGCGGGTATGTGGCCGGCGGCCGTTCGGCTACTGAGCCCTGTACCGTGCCGTTGCTCTGCTCCTAGTCAGACGGGGTCTGAGTCGTACCCTGGTCTCCGGGGTATATCCGGATTGTGGCTTGGCTCGTCAATCCATCATTCGTCCATCCTCCTCCTTGGATTGTCTCGCTCCTGATGCAGTTTCCCATTACTGTAATCACAAATGCGCCGCCCGCGGTGCATGCTGTTGAATACCAATATGCCGATCAGCCTTCTCTTCAGTTGTCCACCACCCCGCTGTCTCCACAGACAAACCACTTCTGTTGGATTCCACGCCCATCAGCGCACGGCTTCCCCAGCTGTGGCACGGTAAACGGAAGCTGCTGACGTCACTGCTTTATTGTCCTGAACGCAACTGCCTATCATCATGAACATGAACGTGTACAGCTCTATCCTGACCAAGTACGGCCTGATAACAGGCAGTCCATGGTTGGGGGAATAAGGTGGGGAGGCAGGTGTATAGAGGCAACCAAGCCAGCTAGCCAGCCGGACGACTATCTTTCTAGCGGACCGACGGATCAACTGCGCCACGCACAGTTAAGTAAGTGGTCTGTCAGCCTGCAAGTAGGAGGCGAGCAGAGAGCCAACCAGACAGCGAGCCTGCGCGGCCGAAAACGAAGTTTATTGTCTGGTAAGAGAGCATTTCAGAGCCGTTAAAAGTTATAACGAGTAAAGTTTCATAACCACAAGGTTAACCATGGTTTACATAGACGAGATTGACGATGCCACTTTCTCTGTGCGAGCTGTGAGAGTTGCTTAAGGGATTGCCAGCGAGGCTGCGGGGAAAGTCCGACGAACAACTGGTTCTCTAGCACGTCTTGAAGTGTGTCGAAGGTGCGTACTGTCTCCTTTCCTCGGTCGACTCACTGATTCCAAGTGGAGATCCATCTTCGCTTGCCACATGGCATCCATCTTGCTGGCGACATAGCATCCATCTTGCTATCCTACAAAGCATCCATCTTGCTTGCAACATAGCTTCCATCTTGCTGTGCAACATAGCATCCATCTTGCTCGCAACATAGCATCCATCTTGGCTTGCAGCATAGCATCCATCTTGCTATGCTACAAAGCATCCATCTTGCTATGCTACAAAGTATCCATCGTGCTATGCTACAACGCATCCATCTTGCTATGCTACAAAGCATCCATCTTTCTTGCAACATAGCATCCATTTTGCCGTGCAACATAGCATCCATCTTGCTGTGCAACATAGCATCCATCTTGCTCGCAACATAGCATGATCCATTTTGGCTTGCAGCATAGCATCCATCTTGGCTCGCAGCATAGCATCCATCTTGCTGGCGACATAGCATCCATCTTGGCTTGCAGCATAGCATCCATCCTGCTATGCAACATAGCATCCATCTTGCTTGCTAGTATATGGTGGATCCATCCTCCTTGCGAATGGGTAGTTGAAATTTCAACCAGAAATCAGTGACTGAATTGGACGTCGTCTTGTGGAGGGACATTGTGGCGGCCTACACAGAGGGGCGTATAGAGAGCACTTTCGTAATGCGACATCCGACAATGTATATGTACGGCGACTGATAATTTCATGCATGTGACGATACGATGTAGATCGTCCCAAAAGTTGTAGGTAGTTCTTCATTCATGCTACGTACGCGGGGAGGGAGGTGATTATCACCAGTCAGGTTGACATGCCGAGTAACTGTACCTTCGTCAGCGCGAACGAGAATACCTTCTCCTTCGCCATCCCACCATTGTTATAGAATTGAAATCGTGGGAGCCGTTCGGTATGCGAACGGGAAGACAGAGGGAACCCCAGCGATATCCATCTATCCATCCATCCATGGGATCCATCTATGCATCCATCGATCCATAAGTATCCAACCAGCCATCCATGCAGCGAGTCAGCGAGAGCCAGCCAGCCAGCCAGCCAGCGAAGCCGAAGCAAAGGGCGAGAGCCAGCCAGCCAGCCAGCCAACAACGCCGAAGGGTAAGGACCGGTTGATGGAGAGGAGGAGTAATGAATGGGGAGTTGCGCCTGAAGTCGTGGAGACAGAGTGAGGAGGCCGTGACCTCCGCGTGCGCGTTTCCACTATGTTGACTGAATTTGAAAAAGCGTGCCCGCGTCTTGAATCTGCTATGTTGAAGCCAGCCATAGGCCCATGAGTTAGGTGCATGCTATCCTGGCTAGCAATGACGTGCAACGGGGCCAGATCCTAAATGGGGTTGTAGGTAAAGTCTTCACCCCTGATTACTGTTAAATGGGGTTGTAGGTAAAGTCTTCACCCCTGATTACTGTTGGGAGAGCAATCGAGTCGGTCGAAGCTCCACGTCCTCGTCTGCCGAGTCCCGGTAGAGTTGAGGATGTAATTGCAAATCTTCTCGGTAGGATCCGGCAATCACCCTACATCACTCGCAAATAAGTTTTTTTTTTAAGGCATAACCCCCCACGAGGGGGTCATTAGGCTGACCAATCAGGCAGTCAATTGCCTTATTGATTGATTGAAATTGTCTATATTAAGTTGCACCTTCGGCTGGCCGGGCTTCGTCTTGCAGACGGAGGGAGACTTGGAAAAAGACGAGTCGAGGGGGTGTGCAAAAAACTGTATAGTAGCGCCGACATTGTTGGTGCCCACCCATGCATCTTTGGGGGTTGGGGCAGGGGGGCTTAAGCTTTTAAGAGGGCAGAGGAAAGCGAGAGGATCTGTCAGTGGGTGGGTGAGAGCTTGACCTTTTAAGAGGGAGAGGGAATGAACGAGGACTGCAGTTTGTGAGTTCAATTAAAAGAGCGAAGATGGGCGACGACAAAGTCCTTTTCAGTTTGTGCTTGGATGTGGAACCGTTGTCTTCTTCCTATTGGACGGAGGGGGGGTGTACTGGTGGGTTGCAAGTAATACAGGTAGAAGGGCCACTTTAAACCACCGGTCCTCCTGACGTCAGAAAACCTCTGGGGTAAAAGGATTCGCCGTTTGTGGGTCAGCCTTTCAAGAACGGGGAGGAGGGGAGAAAGGATTTGCCGTTTGTGTTTCCTTCTTGGACTTTGCCAGATCCAGAGAAAATGGGACAGACAATTAGGGCGCATTCAAACTGGGAGCACTTACCCGGCGGATGTCTGTGGCCACGTTCTACGTCCAGGTGCAGTGAGCAACACCACAAAACCAGTCAGCCGTCGAAACACTCACAAATCCGCCCTTTAGGAGGTGCACAGCTTAGCCCTTCTGTCGTCGACAGATTGGTGGCGACGATTCCGAAAGGCTTGGAAGATTGGATCGGATTGGATCGGTCCCGCACATTCGAGCATGACGTGCAGAGACAAGGTGGAGAGGTGGTTGGTCAAGATGTGTTGGGAAGAAGACAGAGGGACAAGAGAGTTGAAACAATGTACCATGTCTCCATGTGTGCAAGTGCTGTGACAAAGTGAGGGAAAAGAAACGTGAAACAATGTACTATACCATGTCTGTATGTGTGCAAGTGCTGTGACAAAGTGAGGGAAAAGAAATGTGAAACAATGTACTACGTACTATGTATACATGCAACTGCTGTGACAAAATGGTCCCTTCTTATGAGCTTTGATCACCTGCTGCTTGTCTGCTGCCTGGACTAAGCTTAAGTTTTCCTTGGGCTAACGTGCGTCCAACCTACGCTCGGCTGTGGTTTGACCGAGCGTAGGGCGTTTGTAATCTTTTGCGGTTGCCAGGTGGAGGAGGATCTAGCGCCGAAAGGGATGGACATGTTTTGGTTTCTTGTTGTTTTTACATTTTCGTTGTTGTTCAAGTCTGTCTTCGGTGGAAGAGACCGCGGAAATGCTAGAGTTTTCAGCGAAGAGGGTGTTTGTTTTATGTGGACTGTTTGATGATCGATATATGTATATGTACTTGTCTCCTTCTCTGCCTACTGATGATGAGTGGGTGAAACTCCGACGGAACGGTCTGTCACAGCTCCTCGTTTGTTGTCCTCTTCTCCCTCTCCGGCTGTGATTTACGGGCAAGTTGTGTTTCACGGTATAGATGTGCATATGCATGGAAGCCGGCGTTTGGCCGGGGCCGAGCGGCGGCCGAACCCCGAATGCCCGAACATTTGGGCCCCGTGTAGACATGTTCGACCATTCGGGCCGGATGCGGACCTGAAAAAGAAAAAAAGAAAAAAAAAAAACTCTGAAAAACAAAGGTTATGCAGAAGAATAAACTGAACAACATTTGCCTCAGCGTTACATCCAAATTCATTACCAAATTTCAAATAAAAATAAAATGTGCAAAACAAATAATGATAACAAAAAGAAGAAAAAATGAAAAGAATTAAAATTAGGGAGTGGGCGAGCATATTACGTTTTT